AACAACAACAACAACAACAGAACATATTTGTCGAGTGAGTGAATAAATGATTGAACAGGATTGAAATCAATTATTGAAAAGGGTTTAGGCAAAAATCGCCATGGGAAGAGATGTCTGGATTCTGGATGCCTCATTTCCCACCCTTCTTCTTTCTCAGATGACTAGGGTAGCCCATGGGACCTTCTGACTTGAACCATCTCTGATCCCTGGAAAGTGAAGTCAATGCTCCCCCAAAACAAGTCCAAGGCTTCTACTTAGATTTTCTCCTAGAACTTGGCCTTGTCCCTTGAGAGTGGCCCAGATGTTCTGGTGCTGTCTCGGTGATAATTCTTGTCAGTGATTAAATTGGTGTCCTGCCTTGCAAACAGAGGAAGGAAACCGATTTGGGTCTCAGGAAGGACAAAGACTCAGGGTGATATCTTAGTTATTTAATGCTGCTAAGGAGCTCTGGTAGGGTAGTGGTTACGAATTGGGCTGCAAACCTCAGGGTCAGCAGTTCGAAACTACCAGCTGTTCCACAGGAGAAAGATGAGGCTTTCTGCTCCCTTAAAGATTTACAGCCTAGGAAACCCTGTGCAGGGTCGCTATGAGTCGGAACCCACTCCACCACAGCACATAACAACAACAACAACAACAACAACAACAGTAGGAGGACCCTGTGGTGCTGTGGATTAAAGCACTGGACTGCAATTTAGGTTTGAACTGCGAGGTTGACTCACCAGCTGCTCCTAGACTCACTAGGAGTCAGAACAAACTCAATGGCCATTAACAAGTATCTCAAAAGAGAGTGAACCAAAAAACACCCTACACTAATCCTGCCTTGTTAACATAACAAAGAGACAGCTCATCCCAAATGGGTTTATAACCACAGACATAGAGGTTAGGATTTACAACATACATTTTTGGGGACACAGTTCAATCTATAACCGGTAAGGAGCAGAGGAATTTCAACAGAATAGCCCAAATTTCACTAGCCAAAGCAAAATGAGTAGGACCCAAGGTAAGGAAGGAAGTGACTGAGGTTGAGCAACTGGGGAGTTTCTCATTCTTACAGTCTAGTATAATAGGATGGTATTGCCTACTTAAAGTCTGACTACCATCCAGAAAGAGTGTTGTTTGCATGAACCAGACTACTTCTACTGTACGGAGAACTGAAGACTGTGAGACTTAAGTGCTCTGTCTTTTCATCTGCCAGGTGGTACTAAACAGAAAAGACTGAGTCCTGTATGTGTGTGTAGACTGAGGTATGTATGTGTGTCCAGTGAAGAGAAGCAGAGAGAACTATAGTGGCATTCAAAATATAGAAAGGAGACTTCGGGGTGGTTTGTCGGGGTTGGGGCACTCGGTTTACTAATAGTATCTGGGAGGATATTGAAGAGACTATACTTTGTGGGGACACAGACTAAGAGATTTTTATATAAGAATTTAGGTAAATGGTTGATAATGGGAAAGGATTGTTGTTCTTATGAGCTGTGGAATCGGTTCCGACTCACAGTGACCCAGTACAGGGTTTCCAAGGCTGTAAATCTTTACGGGAGCAGAAAGTCTCATCTTTCTCCTGCGGAACAGCTGGTAGTTTCAAACTGCTGACCTTGCAGTTCACAGCCCGATTCGTAACCACTACGCTACCAGAGCTCCTTATGGGAAAGGATTAAGAGAGCCTAAAAAGAGGGATAGGGATTCTGGGATAAAAGGGATGGTTATGGAAGCTGATGGGTTAAGTACACAGTTCCAGTATACAGGCACCCAGGGTATTCAAGAGACTTAAATTCAAGGCCAAATGCTGACTCTTCTCTTCCTTTTCCACCCACATCTGTTCAGCAACAATCATGTGGAACACCTCTGACACCAACTTCTCCTGCTACCATGAGTCTGTGCTGGACTATCGTTACGTTGCTGTGAGCTGGGGTATTGTGGTGGCTGTGACAGGCACTGTGGGCAATGTGCTCACACTGCTGGCCTTGGCCATCCAGCCCAAGCTCCAGACCCGCTTCAACTTGCTCATTGCCAACCTCACACTGGCTGATCTGCTCTACTGCTCCTTGCTCCAGCCCTTCTCAGTGGACACCTATCTGCACCTGCACTGGCGTACCGGTGCCACCTTCTGCAGGATCTTTGGACTCCTCCTCTTTGCTTCTAACTCTGTCTCCATCCTTACCCTCTGCCTCATCGCACTGGGACGTTACCTCCTCATCGCGCACCCCAAGCTCTTTCCCCGAGTTTTCAGTGCCAAGGGGTTAGTGCTGGCACTGGTAGGCACTTGGATAATAGGTGTGGCCAGTTTTGCCCCACTCTGGAATATCTATATCTTAGTACCTGTTGTCTGCACCTGCAGCTTTGACCGCATCCGAGGCCGGCCCTACACCACAATCCTCATGGGTATCTACTTTGTGCTTGGGCTCAGCAGTGTTGGCATTTTCTATTGCCTCATCCACCGCCAGGTGAAGCGAGCAGCACAGGCACTGGACAAGTACAAGCTGCGCCAGACAAGCGTCCATTCCAACCATGTGGCTGGAACAGATGAATCCATGCCTGGTCATTTTCAGGAGTTGGACAGCGGGCTGGCATCAGGCGGGCCCACTGAGGGGATTTCATCTGAGCCAGTCAGTGCTTCCACCATCCAGACTCTGGAGGGAGACTCATCTGAAGTGGGAGACCAGGGCAAAAGCAAGGTAGCTAAGCAGATGGCAAAGAAAAGCCCTCCAGAAGCACCAACCAAAACCAGGCCAACCAAAGGAGCCCGAAAAACCCAGGACCCCCCATCAGATTTTGGGAAAGTGACTCGGATGTGTTTTGCCGTGTTCCTCTGCTTTGCTCTGAGCTACATTCCCTTCTTGCTACTCAACATCCTGGATGCCAGAGTCCGGGCTCCCCGAGTTGTACACATGCTTGCTGCTAACCTCACCTGGCTCAATGCGTGCATCAACCCTGTGCTCTACGCAGCCATGAACCGCCAGTTCCGCCAAGCATATGGCTCCCTTTTACGAAGAGGGCCCCAGAGTTTCCACAGGCTCCGTTAGGACTGTGCCTCCAGTCACCAGAATCCAGGACTGTCCCTTCTAAAACCAAAGTCGGCATGGCAGTTGGCAAAAATAAAAGTTGTAGATTTTACAGATAATCCTCCCCTTCAGAAAGGCCTGGTCCTTCCGCGAATGTTTCAGCCCTTGGACACCCAAGGAGCACTATTAATAAATTAATTCTATGCTTTTAATGCTCAGATGTGGTTGCTGGAAAAGAAAGAACTATATATACCAGGGTTGGTTTGGAGCTGGAATCTAATAACTGAGGATGAGGGCTGGGGTGGGGAACTATTATCAGAGCAGGAGCAGGAAGCAGCTGTCTTGGGACATAGCCTTCTGCTGAGGGGTTTCCAGGTATAAAACATGGGAGTCGCCTGCCTTTTTATTTAATGCCTCAGAAATGGCCTCTTAACTAGGGTTGCCAGCATCTTTCATCCCCACAGGTTGATTCCATTTACATAGTTTTGTAATCCATTTTTGATGTCCAATCCAGAGTCAGCCTCCCTCTCCCCCCCATAAACCTTTGCCCAAACGGAACAGTTATGGAGGGGACCTCAGTGGAGATAGAACTGAGCCTAGCTGTGGCAACAGCAGGCAGGGGTTCCAGCTGCCCTAATAAGGTAAAGCTGGTTTGAGCAAAGTCACCTGGACCTGGGTCCTCGATTCCGATTCCCCGAGACCTGCTCCTATCATTCTGGCTTGTAAAATCAAAAGAGCAGAGACTAGTTAAAAGGGCTCAGGCGCCAGGCTGAGAAGAGAACATACCAAAGATGTTCCTTTCCTCCATCCAGCATGCATGTCACCCGTGTACATGTGCATTCGTTTCCTTAAAGCACCTGTGGCCACCAGGTGACGCTGGTTCTCTGTGTTTTCTCTCTGGCTTGTTGACTGAGGACCAAAGATTTGATGGCTAGAGATCCCTGACCAGTAGAGGTGGAGACCTGTGAGATCTGCCCCTTTCCGCAAAAGCTTAGGAAGAAAAGAGAAGACTGAGCATTTATTATTCATGAGATAGTTATTGTCTGCTCCATGGGGGACTGGGAGAAGACTCTGAGCTGGGGGGTTGTTTGGGGATGCAGCAGGTCAGGAGGAGAAAGGAAAAGTGGACACTATGCTGGCCCTGGGGGTGAAGTTTAAGAGTCTTGCTGACAAGAACACTGGCTGCATGTTGTTCTTTCTTTCACTGTTCCCTCCCCATTCCAAGTCACTGGTTTTAGAAAACAAAGTGGAGTCCGGAGAGTCAGATAAAAGCAGAAAGAATGATGATCCAATGGACAAATCATACCCTAATAGTCAACATACTCCCAAGACCCAGGAATTTTGACCCTTTTCCAGAACATTTGTTCCTAGTGTCTGACTTCCACAAAAATAACAACAGACTAAATAGAGTGGAGTTTGTGTTACTGAGTAAAGGGTCTAGACAGGTGGAATGAACATCAATGAAGATTATTAACCTGAGAGTGTAGACACGAGAGTTGCCCTTAAGACTCTTTGAAATTAGCTCTGTGAATTTGAGCAGGTCAGTGGAGCACTTTGGATCTCAGGTTTTATTATCTGTACAAAGAGGAAGTCCTGTAAATATACACTATCTCTTGTAATCCTCACAAAAACACCATGAGATAGCTTATATGATTTCTTTCTTTCAACTAAGAAAATGGAAACATAAATAGGTTAAGTGGTACCACCCTGATTTGAATGCAGAGAATCTGACTTCAGGGCCCCGCTTACTTTGTAACCACCCCAAGACTTTCTAAAACTAGAATCAAATAACTCTTGGTGTTCCTTCTAGCTTGGACCTTCTAAGATTCTAAAAAGGGTTCACTTTTCATATCCCTTGAAAACAATTCAAAAGCTTTTAGCAAGAAGAAATGAGCAGCAAAAGGGATTGAAGTTAGATTTCAAGAAAGACTTCACAATTTTCAGTGACTGGAAAAAAAACGTGACTCGGGGAACACAGGCAAAAACCCTGGAGTCTGACACCACAGAGGACAGAATATAAGTAAGAATCTAACTCTTTCCTCACTAACCGGTTCTCCACCGCCCATCATTCATATTCGATAAGGCTGAAACGATAGAGAAAAGGCAAAAGAACAAGAGTATCTTTCAGACTGTCTTGCGGGTATGCATGCTACGAGTGTGTCCATGCTTGAGGTTCTCTTATGGTGCAGGGCTCCTGCGTGTCTCGGATAGTGTGTGAGTTTGCGGATTCTGCAAGCTCATTAAGTGTGAGTCAGTGTCTGTCTCTTCTTTCTGTCAGTCTCCAGCCAGAGTGTTATCACTGACTTTCTGACGCTATCTCTTACAGCCTCTCTTTGTCTGTCTCCATCTGTCCGTCTATCCTGTAGGCTGTCTTCATTTCTTGTACCTCTGTTATCGCCTTTTTTCTCCTAAGCTCCTTCTCTCTTTTCTCCCTCCACCCCCCTCCCCTGGCTCTCCCCTCGCTCCAGTCCCCCGCCTTTGCCACTCTTGCTCGCTCGCACGCTCTCTCTCTTTGGCTGTCTCTTACAGGCAGATTTATGGTCAGCCCAGGGTCTTTCATTGGCCAAGCGCTGACAGCATTTGATTTAACGTCGCTTCTCATTGGCTAAGCTTGACAGGCCGATTTACGAGTCACTCTGCCATTGGCCAAACTGCCTTGGCTCTGATTTATGGCTCGGCGACTACGGAGAGGAGGGGGCACAGTGGGGGAATGAGGATGCCCCTCCCCTTGTCCCTTCTCCCCTCTTCCCTTCTTTTTCTCCCCTTTCTCTCTCTTCATCAAGGAATCGCTCTCCCTCTACCAGTTTCTCAAGGCCCCTTCTCCCTTCTCTTCCGTCCACCGGGAAGGGATAATGGGGGTGGTGGTGGTGGTCTGAAATAGAGGATGGAATCTGAGGGGGGAAATATGAACAGAGGAGAAATCTGAGGTTGTGGGAGGTAGAATAGGGGAAGGAGAGACCGAAGAAGGAAAAAAGAGAATGAACTAAAGGGAGAAGGGGAAACTGGGGGCAAAGGAGGTGAAAGAAATGGGAAGGCTCAAAAGAAAAAAACAGGAAAAGAGCTTTGAGGAGGAAAGGGGGAGCTGTGTGAGGAGAAGAAAGGGGAGAAATGGTAACAAATGGGTAGAATAGAGAAGATTGGGGGAACTGAGAGGCACTCCCCCCCGCCCCCAGACATCACTATTCAGACAGAATGATGGTGGTGGTGGTGGTATGCCACCGAATTGGTTCAATTCCGACTGATAGTGACACTGTATAGGGTTTCCAAAGCTGTGAGTCTTTGAGGCAACAGAAAGCCTCATTTCTCCCACCACGCAGCAACTGGTAGATTCCAACTGCTGATAACCCACTAGTTACCAGGGCTCCTTCCAGATACAGTAAGACATGGAAATTTTCTCTGCTGACAAAGGAATTCAGAGAAGCAAAGATGTAGAGAAAGTATAATAGAAAGGTGAAAAGGAATGCGAACGAAAGGAAACCTGGAAGGTAATAACAAAGAAAAAAGGAGGGAGAATACAGAATTAATGGGGAAGATCAGAACTAAAATGAGTTCTTGTTTGTTTTTGGGGGGTGGGGGAAGTGCAGTGAGAAAGCACTAATCCTGAGATGAATATTGAGAGAAATAACTCCTCTTCTTTCTCTCTATGAAGACCCTTTGGTGTCTGCATGGGGACAAGTCAGGCACCTCCCCCAAGAGGGATTCTGCTATATCAAGGCTGCAATCAGCTCCTCATTCAATAGACCACACTCCTCCCCTTTGTCCATCTCCCCAGTTAAATTTATTAATTCAGAGTTGGCCTTCAGGAATTAGGGATATTTATGCTTCTTTGAGGGAGTCCTCATGTGATGCTTTAGGATAAGCACTGGACCACAAGTCAGTTTGAATCACAAGGTCAGTAGTAGTTCAAACTCACCTCAGTTCAAACTCGCTGCTCCTCAGAAACCCTATACAGGGTTGCTATCAGTCTGAACCCACTCAGCAGCACTTAACAACAACAATATGCTTCTTTGAAAGTGAGGTCTGGAAGGTGATAAATAGGGGCCATTGGGAGGTGCACCTGTGGAAATCCTATTTTTAGAGTGGCCACTTTCCCAAGATCCTCATCAACCCCTTCCCTATCATCCTGAGCCAGAGAAGGGAGCATTTTTTGAGGGAGGACTTCTGAACTTTCACAGCAGAAAGGATTGAAGTCAGGTGGAGAAGGAGCTTCTCAAGCACCCTGGAATTCTTAGAGCCTCTGGAGTACAGTTACAGCATTTCTGCAGAAGATGGAGGGAAATGGGGAGAAGTCAGTTCTCTGTCTGTTCCCCCTAAGCTCAGTTTCTGAGGAGTAGGAGAAAAGAGTCAGGAAATTCAGAGGCAGTTTCTCTAGCCTATCACCCACCTCACAAGGAGACAAAGACTTGAAATCCCCCACCCTCCACAAATCATAGCTTGGGTCCCTGGGAGAGAAGACTAGGAATGTTGTGCTTGGGCATTGCCTGGGAGTCTAGGCCCCAGGCTGTCCACCAGCCACTTCAGGCTGAGAATTGAAAACAGCCAATTGTTCTGTTCTTTACACCTCTTGCCCTGGGCCTCCAGGAAATGAGGAAGGAGGGGGTCTGTCCCATAGATCCAGCATGCTGTCTCCAGCCCTCAGCTCAAGAAGTCATGTGTCAGCAACTCCCAACACATTCAGAGAGCTTGCTCTGGATTCGGGTAGGTAAGGGGGTTCATTATATAAGAGAGGTCAAGAGAAAGCCAGGAGTCCTGGGGTGGCAGCCCTGTAGGATAAGCATTTGACTGGCCAGATTGGTTTGAATTGCAAGGTCGGTAGGTAGGCTGTGATTCTAACTCACCAGGGCTTCTCAGATACCCTATACAGGGTCACTATGAGTCAGAACCTACTTGTTGGCACTTAACAACAGGGAAAGCAGAGAGATAGGGCTGGGAAGAACCCCTACCACTACCACCATGCCCTCCACCCACTATGGCTTCAGCAGGGATGGCCACAGTGCACATGTGTGTGCCTGAAGGCATGT